ATTAGAAATGGGTCCGGGCAACAGGGGGGCCAGGCAACATCATACATCATACAAGGAACCACTAAGGGACTGAACTCAGGCAGGGACTTAATTACTAAGGGGTAACAAGACTAGCACAGGGCAGGTGAGACTAATTAACAAGGGTTCGGAAAACAGGCCACAGATTAAACTAATAATTAAATTATCGGACAGGGAGGGGAAAACTAAGACACTGACAGAAACAAGGAAACAAAATCTAACACGGGGGAATAAGAAAGACAGGTAAAACACAACCAAAGCAACCAAAACAGAAAACAAACCACAAAATCACAGTAACTGGAAAACCTGATGAAACCAATGAAACATGAGGGAACAAAATACACAAAACTACAAGCGGTGGGATTCAAACACACAACAAAGGGATTTGGAGGCAACCGCATGCTCAACACATTGAGCCATGCGGCCAACAGGGAGCAGGGAGAAACACAAAGGGTGACAGGAGGGACAGGATGGCCAGCGACACCTACTGGCCAAACGGGGAAGGAACAGACTGGGAACAACAGGAGCTGACCCTGACACCTTCATGCAACCAGAAGTCGGTCGACTGATCTTACAATTACAAGAAACATTGCATACTTTTGTTTGGTCAACCCTGCAGCAGCAAAGAGAGTTATTGTCCCAGATATTAATTAGCGGTGCTTAAAAAATGTCCCTCTTAGAGCAATGATGAACTTTGTCACAAAGATAGTCATTGTGTATCTGAAATGTCGCAGCGCTACGCAAGTTCTGGAAAATGTAATCTTGCAGTTGTGAACAAAGCTTGAACCGGCAACAATATTTTAGAGATTCATTCTTTTAACAGGGGCTGTTGTCACCCGCAGGCGCAACTCATAAAGCTTGTTATACATGCTGCACCAAGCTGAGTTATGAGAGACAGAAAAGCCCGCCAAAATCTCCCTTACATAGCCAGACCTGAAAAATACCAATCATTTCAATGGGGATATTAACTTTATTACTTAACATGTCATTTGGTTGCAGTCTTCTGCACAAGTTCAGCCAATTTTCACAGAAGATCCAGATACCCCCTGACCCCCCCTATGAGGTCAAGGTCCCCCACATACTGCAAATCTCACATGCATGCAAAATAAGATTAAGGTGCCAATATCATGCACATTAGACAAACTCCTGGCCTGTTTTTATCATATCTCTAGTTTTTATGTATCCAATCTCATTATGGTGGCATCCATATCACACAAAGTATTTGGTACTATACCTAAAACAATTTTGAAATATAATATTTTGTAATGTTTGTAGTGAAACTATGTTGTGAGGCATGTATTTAACGGAAAAAACATGCTTTGTAAACTAATGCAGTGCATGATGGGTACTATGGAGGCTAGTTAAATTTCACTATCCGCAGCTGCTGCAACTTTCATTTTAAGTTTTATTTTGAAAACCACAAATTAGCAGCACTATACACTTTAAACATTAAAATAATAACAATGCCGCCAGCAAAATAAAACAATAAGCAAAGGTTTTTTTTTTTAAAACTTTTCACAATCATAATAAACACCGTGTATTCCAAAATCATTGACTCTGGTTTGTTCCTGCCTCTATATTTCAGTCCAGAAACTGGCTATTCTAATACAGTGGAAATCGCTTTTAGCGATCATGTCTGTCTGGGTGAATCTGGTCACTATAAGCGGATGATAATTATAACCGATTTCTTTATGTCTCAGGCAGATTTCCATCTAATTTGCATTTGCATATTTGTTACAAGAATCTAAGTATCGTGGACAGCATCAATATTTACCGAATTTTATTGACTATTTTAAAATACACTAGAGCTATTTAAAATGGTTTTTAAAATACGGCACTGTACAAATTAAATCACTGAATTATATAACTCATATACGCTATAATACAGTACTGTATATAAATGCAGCTTATTGTAGTCTCACTGCTTGTTTTTGTTAGTTTATCATAAGCTTTGATGAGTCTACATTTGTCATTGATCGTGTTTTCTGTGCAGGCAGCATTAGCCTCAGGTAGCCCAGCTAGCCAGTAGGGCAATCAAAGTAAAGTTAAAACAGAATTACCGTCGTTTAATTTTTCCATATGTTGCCATGTACAGAAAACCCCAAAATTAACACTGTAAGCAGACTACTTTACTACTATATGCAAATTAATTTAAACAGTATTCGTACAGGAACGATTCGGTCCCAAGCTTTTTGATCCATATAAGTGGTTGATCACTATAACCATGATCACTATGAGCGGCTTCCCCTCTGAAATAACACGTAGCCCAAAATTATGACTTTATTCTCCCTCAATGTGGCCCTAATACTCCGTCGTAGGAAAATCCATACAGATAAAGGAAATAAACTGGATTCAGTTTCCATTATTGACAAGCTATTACCAAGTTAGTCAGACACACCGTAACATTCTCCCCCATTCTGAAGTCCCTACATCATAAATTGAGCTAAAAGTTAACTTACCTTGCATATCAAATAGAGAGTGGTGGTCATGAAGATGACTTGTATGACTAGATGTGTTGCACCGCTTTGCAGATATTTTCTTTCTGCGTGTTTTGCAATCAGTTTACCTTCTGCAGTCCTATAAATGCCAAAACAGGACCACACCTCTGACCTTGTCCTCAGGATGGCTGAAAATTTTCCCAAGCGCTGTCACCGCCTTCCGCAATGTTTTCAACACAAAACAAAGCGATTAGTATACAGCTGCAGCTACCCTTCTCAGACCCCCGGTTGGGGTTAGACCAGGGGTGGCCAATCTTATCTGCAAAGAGCCGGTGTATATGCAGGTTTTTGGGATAACCTGTAGGTCAGCTGTTCAAACCCAGGTGTGAGGTCTCTTCAGCCAATCAGTCCTCTAATTAGTAATCTAATTAGGGAGTTGCAGCGAAAACCCGCATACACACTAGCCCTTTGCGGATAAGATTGGCCACCCCTGGGTTAGGGTATCAGATAACAGGGCCCTTGATATAAAGCTCTCCTTGGCTCCCGGCTGCAGCAATATATATGCTTACCTGAGAGCGGCGGAGCCTGAGACGGCTGGCTGCAGTCATATATTATTGAACTACGCACCTGCTTCTGGGAGACTTTTGCTAACTTTGGTTAATGCTATATAGTATTTAACGGGCGAGATGGCAGTGTCTATATGACAGATCACAGTAACAGTTCAGGAGGAGGGAAAATTGTAAATAGCCCCTGTTTGTGTTATTGTTAATACTGGTTGTGTTCTTGCGTGAACCCTGCCTGGTCCTCGTGTGTGTCTAGTTATAAACTAGTGATGGACAAACGAAGCTTCATGAACCATCTGCTGTATTTTCTGACCCCACTAGATGGTGCTCTTGGTTTACTTTGGGGTATGCTTTGAGCAATTTTATGAACAGAGAGCACCATCTAGTGGGGTCTGAAATTAAATCAAATGCTTCATTTGGCCATGACTAGTGTGAACTACCCACCATGTTTGTGCCATACAGTCTGGCGTCAGACCTCCCTGCATTTTCCCGTTATGCGTGTACGATGGTTGGTTGATATGTTAGTTCTTCTAAGAGTTTAATAAAATGGCGTATTTTTCTCTAAAAAACAAGTCTCCTATTTTCTTGCCTTGCGTTGCCTCGATCTGCCACACATTACACTAAGTTTTTCAAAGCACGATAATCAACCACAGTGTTAGCTGTGATTGGAATTTGAAACGGTGATACTAATGGTCAGATAAAACAGATTGACCTACAGAAGCACACAATCCATTCAGCAGCCAGAAGAGAACTAGACACTGGCTTCAGCATGCAGGTCACCACCACCAGCGTCGTCCTCCTTCACGTTTCTAATAAACGTTCTTTGCAGAGACAACACAAAACTCATACAAAAATGCCATTGTACAGACACTGCTGATTTTTATTATTTTAGCAGAATGGTCTATTTTGGACTCATAAGCCTGACCTCCAAAACAAACAAATGATCTTAACCACTCGAGTTTACTTTAAATACAAAAATACAGGCATATGGGCTCATCCCCCATTTAAAATGTCTTCCCTAACCCTTGATCAGAGAGCACTCTGTGTAATCCCGAAGGTGATGAGAGGACATATGGATAAAGCCTGCGGTGAAACGATCGTGCAGGAAAAGTGAGACACAGGCGTGCGGCTCTGCAGATGGATGGTGGCTGAAAGGAAGCACTTTCAGGGCGAGGTTTTGGATAGGCAGTCACAGCTGTGTCCACCTCCACGTCCAATGCAGAGCGTTGCTCACTCCATCGCTGCGCGGCCCCCATCAGAGACGTGTGACCGGCTGCGTCCCACCTCCCTGGAGCTCCTGGTCCAGCATGCGAAAGTGCATCGCACATTTGTTGCGCTGCGGGGTGTGGCCCAGCAAGTGATGCAGCCTGGCCTGCAGGTAGTACACTTCCCGCAGGCGCTCCCTGCAGCCCAACCGGGAGAAGTAAGTGGCCGTCTCGTCCAGCGTGTGGACTGCCAGCTCCAGTGCTGGGGAGGGAACAAAGTCACAGAGAGTAATGTGAGGGACACGCATGAACCCCCCACCCCAAGCTCACATCATATAGTGCAGCGTTAGACACCCCCACGTTTTTGCTGGGAGGGAGGGTCACTGAGGACCAGATTCAGAAACTCTGATGCCTGTAGAATCACACTACAGCTACTAAACAACACGGTGACTCACAAATAAAGATAATGTGCTTGGGAATGAGGAGCCAATATGTCAGAGACCGACCCCCAAAGTACAGAGAGCCAAATATTTGCAGGAAAGTTGGTTCCAAGCACAGAACTCAAACATGTGCCCCGAATAGCCCAATCTGCAGCGGCCCTTTGGGATTTTACCAGCGTGGCGGTCGCCCGCCCTGTCGGCCACCGCCATCTGGCACTTAGCCACCAGCAGCAAGGCGCGGCCCTTGTCCAGGAGGGAGCCGTGGGCCAGGACGGGCTCCATGGCCTCCTGCAGGATGTTGAGAGCCTGTTCCGGGACACCGAGCATCAGCTGCAGCCCACCCCGTGTCAGAAACCGGAGACAAACGAGAGAGGGAGAGAAACGTAAGAGGAAGCTTCATGCTCTTGGATTTTTGCCTTGAAACCAACTAATCACATTTGTGTGTACAGTTTTTTGGCCAAAGTGACATAAAAGTGAGGCAGAAGGGTTCTCACACGTTCTGGGAAACCTTAATTTTTTAAATGCACTTTCTAGTCATGGAAAAGTCTTAAAAAATGGAAAAAATGCCCAAGAAAATAAAAATTGTCCTGAGTTTTTACATGCATAATACAATTCTAAAATTCTGTAGCTGGTTGGAACTACTATATTTCTTTGAATAAATGGGGAGGAAATAATTTTTGGGAAGAAAAAAAACAAATTATGGAATTCATCGTTTACCTTAATCAAAACTAGGTAAACATATTAAAACATCTAAAATGTTATTATACAGACATATTCAAGATGCACACCATTGTTGAAAAGCCTGATAATGTCCTATTTTTTTCCTGTTCGCCATGCTTTGTAACAGTGTAAACTGAGTTACATTCTTTCCTGCTGCGCTTTATTCAGCAAGCAGCAACTACAGTATTTTAAAAGTTGTATGAATTGATGATTCGTGAAATTTTTGGAATATAGTGATTCCTCCATTTTAAGGTGACAATTTCAAGAAAAGCCCTGCCTTAGGACAAATACAGGATAATATCAAGTAAAACAATGTTCAACCTGATTAACCGAGGGTCAGAGTAGCCGTCTTGCAGGGGAGTATTAAGCAGCTGTATAGTGCTGGGTGCTGACTTTACATGCTGTATCTGGTCCCCAACAAATACTAACTTGCATGGCATTTAATTGCAACTTATTTAATACTGAACAATCTATGCCTGCATAGGCAGGTTGAATACAACATGTTTTTTTTTGTGTAAGGGTGCATTCTCACGGCACGTGACTAACGCGATTTCTCTGCTTCCCTCATCCATTTCACAATTCCTTACAGTCTTTTGTTGCTTGCCACTGACGAGTTTCAGCAAAATTTCGGATAGTGACTTCTTAAAATAGTGTTTCATTGATATTTCAGATGAAATTATGCTAACAATATTGGTAGAACAGAAATTGCAAAGTTAAATAACAGAACTATTGCTCCACTTGAACAATAGGAAGGAAAAACTACAGTAGAGCTATCAGATACAATCTATTGTCATTTTTATATGCAGAGCAAATATTTCCATTTCATGATCGCTCATCATTTTGTTTCTCAGTGTGTACTCTATACAACTGAATTGTATTCCTTATATTAATAAATCCACTGCATAGTTAGTACATGGAACACAGAAGTGAAGAATCTAAAAGTTTAACACGCCACTGGTGAGGAAGCATTCTATAGACAATGTGTAACTAAACTATTATAGCACTAAATACATGATTGATTGATGGATGGATGGATGGATGACGACGACACTGAAAGCCATTTCAGTAGAGAACAAGGCTCTCAGCACCAGGTACCACCCGCTGAACATCTTGAAGCTGCAAGTCGACAGCCAGCGCAGTCTCGGTTTTCAACAAAAAAAGAGCCTTGAGTATATGGAACAACAACAACAACCTTTCCCTGAATGTCACCAAAATGAAGGAGACCAGACGCCTTGACTCTCCACTTTTCATCAAATAGAAGCTCTGTTAAGACAGTCAGCAGCTTCAGGTTCCTGGACGTCCAGATCAACTCCCTCTCATGATCTCCGAACACCAGCAGCCTCCCCAGGAAGGCTCAGAAGAGACTGTTCTCCCTAAGGAGGCTAAAGATCTTTGGGTTGAGAAGTAAAACTCAGATTAAGGACTGTTTCGGACGGCTTCAAAAGTCATCGGAACAGGTCTTCCACAGTTCAAGTCGATCTACCTTCTCCTGCTGCCAGAAGAGAGTGGAGTCCTTCATCAGGGATGCCATCCACAGTTCACACCCTTTTCTCACTCCCATCCTCGAGAAAGTCCTACTGGTGCATCCCCACAAACACCCCCCTCCCAACAGCTTCTATCCCAGAGTCTTCAGACTGCTACACCAATGACTGACATGTGTCAGTGTCTGGGGAATGTTTTCATTGTTAAAACTCCACCTGCACTTTATCCTTATTTACTCTTCCATACTGTGGTCCGTTTGCCATATTGCTCACACACAGGAGTCCAAGCACATGTGGAACAGTTCCATTCCAGCAAGGATGCCTCCCTGGTAACTCACTCCATAGATTCTTAACAGCAAAATTCCCACAGTTCTAGCGAGGTCATGACTCAGTCACTATGACCTGGCAAAGCACAGAATCGTCATTCAGAGAGAGGTCCCATTTTCTAAAAAAATCCATTTCACCCACAACGGACCTCAGGTGAGTCTTACTGGTTTGACGAGGGTGGGAGCTCACCTGGGAGAAGGCCAGGTGCAGGATGGTCTCAGAGGCCAGCGCCTGTAGGTGGTGCTGTCGCGCCAGAGCCAGCGCCCGCAACAGGAGGGGCAACGCGGTGGTGAAGCTGGAGGATTCCCAGTGCAGCTCGGCTGTGGTCAGCATCACCCTGCGGCACACGGCGGAAAGCGGGGAATGCGGGGGGGGGATACAGTGAGGGAAGTGGGGGCATGCAGGATAATCCACATTGAGTGCTTGCTTGTTTCTAGCTTAGCATGCTAATACTCTGTGGTCAGCGTGCAGCCATCTGGCCGTGCCTCACAGCCCTGCTCACCGGACGGCCATCTCGGTGCTCCGGCCGTCCTCGGAGAGCGCCTGCAGCCGCTGCAGCACGCCGTACGCCTCGCCACTCCGGTTCTGTGCCTTCAGCACCAGCGCCTTCCTGAGGAGCGCACATCAGCCATGAGCGTGCAAGGGGGTGTGACCCCAGGACCAAACTGAGCCCCATCTGTGAGTATAACCGTGACCAGTTTAAACCACACCCTACTGGTTACCTTACCGATCTCATTGGGTTAAACCGACCAGTGACTGACAGCGATTGTCCACTGTGGGCTGTGTAGCCTCAGGAGTCCCGCCTTAAAGAAACCCTCTTCACCTTTTAAAAGATGCTGGGTCTCACAGGGCTGTCCGAGCTGCGTTTAGCTGTGACGCACCATGACTCTGATCGCCGTGTGTGTTCCCTTATAGTCATGCCAGCGTATCACCCAGTTACAACGCCGGCTTCTGGGAGCCCCCACCTGTACAGCCCCTCCGTCTCACTGAGGGCGGCTATGGCGGTGACCTGGGCCTCTGCCTGGTGGTACTTCCCGTCGTTCATGGCTCGCTCAAACTGGATCTTCAGATCACACAGCATCCACAGCTGGGGGTGCATGTCGGGGGGGGGAGGCAGGGGGGTGAGTGGGGGCACACACTGTACACAGCCTCTTTCTTTAAATCACTTAATCAGTCTAACCTTTCAGCCGACGGCTGACGTTTAATAACCTGCACTCACTGTCGCCACGGAAATATTAAACTAGCAGAAACACAGACTGAACTTTTACCTTTTATTTATTATTCCTGACAGTACTGACACTTTACTGGCAGTCCCTCATAAATCAGTGCAGGACGTCTTTAAGTCACACAGTGCTTTTGAGGTGCCAGTCTCTACATAAAGGTAAAAGGGGGAAGAGAGGCCATGTGGAAAAGCTAGCGAGAGGCGCAGAGAGCAGCCCAAGCCCTTGGCTAGCACGCTAACATGCTAACGGGACTGCACCCGCACGCCAGTGGAGGCGGGCATGAGGACGACACTGGTGCCAGCCCACCTTGGCATGCTGCGTGTGGGGGGGAAACTGCTGCTTCAGGTGTGTCAGGATCTCAGACGCGGCGCCAAAGAGACCCTGAACAAGGGAGGGCTAGATTAAAGATGGGGAAGACAAAGAGACGCACCACATACAAAATAAAACTGCGCCGCTTTCATCCTAAGAATGAGGCTCTTCACACGTGACAGCTGCTAGGTAAGGGGGCGGCTGACCTGTTGGGCGTGCAGCTCGGCCAGGTGGCACAGCACCACGGCAAAGGGCTCCGTGTTGTTCTGCTGCACCCCATAGTTGACCTGCTCCAGGCTGTTCATGTTGAGGAGAAGCTGGGCCTGCTGCTGTGCCATGGTGCTGCAGGATGGGCCACCAGCAAGGGGCGCACAGGTTACTGAGCAACATACAGCTGGGAGGCACAGAGAACTCACCCTGTGCTTGAATAAGAACTATAGGGGTCGGCCGGGTAGGGAGGTGCTAACCTCTTGCCATACATCCTCCATAAGGATGTGGTCTGTGCCAGACTGATGTCGATTAGCTCTGATAGGCTGTGTTTCCAGTGCAAAATGTCTGTGTCCTTCAGAGCATCCATCAGCTTGTTGGCAGTCTTTCCCCCTGTTGCCCCCTGCTGGACGAGGGACTGAATGCCCAGGGAGGCCAAGTACTGAAAAAAGAGCAGGAGGCAGGAGGACCTTAGCATGCCGCAGCGAGTCATCAGGGAGGCGGCGCCCGGCTCTGGGCCTGACCCAGGCAGCATGTCGCTACACCATACCGGCAGACAGAAGTGGGCGGCCATTTTTACAGAGTCTTCCGTCAGCACCGAGCTGTCTGACCCCTTCATGTGCTCCAGCGTGTAGAGCCAGCTCTGGAACACAGAGGCATGCAGAGGAATCAGCCTAAGGCTGGGAGATATCAAGTCGATATTATATCACGCGTGTGCAATAATCACCAGGGCTTCAGATGACAGGCGCTGCATTTGGCCAAGCATCAGCTTATCAGTGCTAAACGGACATTTACGCCCACAATTTGTTAAGCAGCTTAGTAGTATGGGTAAAATATTCATGAGGCTTTGTATGACGTCCAAAAGTCATTATTAGTATAAATACGGCCTATCCTTATGTTTAATAAATGTGTCAGACTTTGATCTGCAAAAAGTTCCACCATACTGTCGACGTCTTTTTACGTTGTTTATCCACAAGATCTCCTCTTTTAAAAGATGTCGTGGCTGCTCTTCATCACCATGATTTCAGTGCATATTGCAGAGGCATACAAACCGTAGTATACCAAACCGTAGTATACCAAAACCATATTATGTGGGGTGCTCCGCTAATTGAATTTAAGAATAAGAAAAAATTGTTTATACAGATTACTAACTTTTGGGTACCACAAAACGCATCTCATTAATATTTAAGCCATACTACTAATCTTCTTACCACATTATGGGCGTAAATAAATAAATAAATAAATATCCGTATAGCACTGAAAAGCTGGCATCCGGCCAAATGCTTCGTCTGTCATCTGAATCCCTGGTGATTACTGTGCATGCGCGATATAATATTGACATGATATCGCCCAGCCCTAAATCAGCCCGAGGGTACAGAGCACCTCAGCCTGTATGGGCATGCACTTACCAGGCAGTGCTGCAGACACACGTGGTCGCTGGACTCCTGCGCGATGCGGATGGCCTCCTGCAGCGCCAGCTCCGCCTGCTGGCTGCAGGGAGAATGAGGCCTCAGTGACGGCGCTGCAGGGAATGCGCAACGCTTTCCTGCCGCACATATGATCACGCCAACCCCTGGACACTCACTAGTGCGCGAAGCGGCAGTGCAGCGCAGCCAGGTTGAGGGCGGCGTAGCGCAGGCTGCGGCCGTAACCCTCGTCCCCATTGCTCTTGCCGTCGCTGCCGGTGAGGATGAGCCGGTCGAAGTAGTGCAGCAGGCTGTGGGTGGAGGTGTAGATGTCCTGCACGCGCATGCTATTCAGGTAGGTGACATAGTGCTGCAGGGGACAGGGACACGCTGGGTTGAGGGTCGCGGGGGGCAGCCGGGCCCTTGGGGGCCGAGGGATTAGAGCAGAACCATCCCAATCCTTCATCCTCAGGAATAAGTCACTGAGCCACAGATCAATAAGTATCGTCTTTCAATCCAGAAACAAATTGGCATGAATAATATATGTGATTAAATGGATTTATTACCACTTAACAGCCAGGAGGTCAGAAGAGCAGGATGAAGCCGGTCACAAGCTGAGCACCCGGCTAACCCTAAAGCTTAACCCTAACCGTAACCCTTAACCCCCTGCTGTGTGAGTTGACGATTCATAATGGATGCAGCTACATGAAGAGCCTACAGAGCACACAGGAGGTCTCTGAGCTGCAGGGTAATGCGAGTTGCCAGATTCATGTTCCTTTATAGAAGCCAGACCACAGGGTCAGTGCTGCTGCTAATACAGTGGTACCTCAGTACTCAACCTCATTAGAAGTCAGATTTCTTAAAAGTTGAACCAACCAGTTCGAAAAAAAAAAAGACCTAGAACTCAATCTGAATCTCAGAAGTCGAACCGTGAACACCGACCTAAGATAACTTGTACGCGCGGGGAAATGAGTCATGCAGCACGTCTCTCAGCGGAAACAAAGGGTAACGCTTCAGTCTCAGCCTCACATTCGCTGTGATAGCATCGTGCATGTTTACACTAGCTGAATACATATATTTAGACAGTAAAAATACATTTAGACAATGATAGACAGTAACAGTAATTATTATTATATAATAAAATACATTTAAAAATAAAGATTTCTTATTAATTATTTTAATATCATTAATCATATCATTAATATCATTATTATCATTAATTATAATAATATTGTCGTGCCAAGCGGGGACGGAACAGAGACAAAGGCGCAGAAGTCAGGGTATCGGGGAATACAGGGTTTAATTACAGGTAAGGCAGGCAAAACGCAGATGGACAATACAATGACCGGACTGGGGAAACAAACTGAAACGTGGACTAAATACATAGGACAGCAACCAGAAACAGCTGATCACACGGGGATTCAACAGGGGGTTAACGAGGGGGCGTGACACACGGAAGGAGTGGACGATCGGGGCAGGACACATTGTTTGGATACATTTATTTTCTTACTTTACAAATTACTGTTTTGATAAATGTGCTTAGATGTGTTTAGTACAGTATATGCTCTTCTTGTTAATCCTGTTCATTTTGTGTTTAAATGCTTTAAAAAAAAAAAAAAAAAAAAAAAAAAAACATATTTAGGTGTAATTTTTTGGGGCCGGGAACCAATTCATTGGATTTCCATTATTTCTTATGAGGAAAATTCGATCAGAGGTACCACTGTACTAATAAAAATTCATAAAATATACTAGATCACTTGTTAGAAAAGCTAACCTAAGAGACACAGCTTGCTAAAACTGCACTGCATTAACAGCTGGATGTTTTCAATGAGCCTTACATGACCTTGCTGTAGTGTTCATCTTCATTCATATTTAAGCTTTGCGACGCAAACGAAGCGGTGTGGTTCCTTACCGCTTCAGCAAAGTCTGGGTTGAACTTCAGCATGTTGTTGAGCTCCTCCTGCAGGGCGGCAGCCTTCAGGGCTTTGTTCTCGTCAGTCTTCAGGAGATACGCCTAGGGGGGACAGCGTTACTACAAGGGAACTCCCACAGGAACAAAGGGCTCTGTCAGACACTCACCTGCCGCACCAGGAAGTACTCGGCCTGCTTCTGGGACAGCGGGCACCTCCTCTGCGACTCATCACTGTGAAGAATCAATGGCAGGTGATAAGAGCGGAGCAGAATTCAATGGGCCACGTAGGAGCCGGCTGGCTGGGGGGCCTACATGAGCTCCGCCTCCTGCATTGGGCCTGTGTCCAGTTCCTCCTTCTCTGCCTTCGCCCCCGCGGTATCCTCAACGCCAGTCAGCTCCATCTCATTCAGGTCCATGTCAACATCAGCTGTGGACCTCCAGGTGCCCCCCCCGGTACCAGCCACATAGTAATGCTGCAGGGCGATGTAGAGCTTGTAAACTTGGCTGAAGGAGAGCTTGTTGTAGGCCAACAGCATGTGCCTCATGAATAGTCCTGGGAGGGGAGAAGCATCAGCCAGTGATCAGTGTGGGTCCACCATGCTGACACTGCCATGGGGAACGGGGAACGGGGGGTGGGCTTAGGGGCCAAACCAGGCCGGTGAGGGGCCCCAGAGCTCAAACCACTCCTATGTTGGAGCACTTATCTACAAACACATCGACTGAAACGGAGAAATAGTTCACCTTGAAGCAAACAGAGAACATTCCATAAAGCTATGAAAAAAGCTCATAAGGGGGGCATTGAGTGGCCAGGTTTGTGGGAAGACCACGCAGCATGACACCTGAAAACCAACATCTGTATCAGGAAAATAAAACCTATAAAGCCACAAGCAGCGAGCAGGTGCAGGCTCACCGACAACGCTGGTCTTGCTGGCCTCTGACTCCGACTCACTGAAGGGGTTCGGAAGGGTATCAAAGAAGGACTCCATGTCCCTGAGGTTCCCAGCAACCATGTCACGCAACCTTCAAGGAGATACGTGCGGATTACAAAGCATCACCAATCTGAAGCAGAATGAAGACACAACAGGGAAGAGCTGCCCCTCACAGGCAAACCAGTTTCACTTATTCTGGGTATCTATTTCATTTGGGTAATAGTTGATCATCTGTGGAATTCAACAAATGCAGGCAGGTAGGCAGGCAGATGGCCAAGCCCCCCCCCCCGCCTAAGACCTCACTGCCAACCACGCAAGTACAGGTTGAAGCAGAGCTGCAGATACAAAGCAGGTTTCTAGTGAGGCTGCCTTGCTGCTTCGACAGGTCAGAACTGGCCTTCTCAAGTGTAGAGAGATGTAGAGCAGAGGGTCCCAGGGCAACATATCCCAGAGCCCAAAGTGTCTGCGGTCTATAGCATGCTGGGGGGAGGGTTACTACTTGTTTTTGGAACACAAAAAAAGAATAAATTCTAAACTGCTGTCTTTTATTACACAAAACAAAGTATCATTTACAATAGATAAATCAAAACTGCTGATGAATTTCACAAAGGGCAGCACTCTGGGAGGCCATCACCAGCCTGGGACTAAAACGCGGGGGGAGCAAGGGGTTGTGCAGGGAACAGAGACCCAAAGACGACTTTAACAGTGAGCCTGACAGAGGGAGAGCAGCTGGAGGGTGGCATGAATACTTGATTTTGAGTGTGGCAGCCATCTTCGGGGCGCACTCCTCCACAGTCTTCAGCAGCTGGCTGAGCGTCAGGTCGGGACCCTGCCGACAGAAACACCACGGGTGTGAGAATCCCAACTCAGGCATTCTATGGCCAACAGCCTTTGCATGTGACTCGCTGCTGTGGCGACGGAGCATGGCAGGGGCTCTGCAGGCAAACAACCGTGACAGAAGCCTCATCCAATTGCACCTCGCGACATGCTGCCTATCCAATCACAGCTCATGATACTGTCAGGAGACGCCATTACATACATCCTAAATATCCTGTGTAAGCTGTAAATGTGAGGATGCAGGAGGCAGGGTATACTCCTCATGGGAGGAGAAGCCACCCAAACTCACAGATTCACACTAGCTGATTGTAGCACCTGACCAGGTAATGGAAAAAGGTTTCCTCGGTGCTCTAGGGGGCGCTACTGGGGCGCTCTTGTGTCAGCCGCTGTCGGACTGAAACACCTGTGCCTCCATCACTACCGCATCTTCCCCGTTCCCAGCCAAAAGAAGAGACACTGAACAACACTGAGCACTGACAACACTGCAATGCATTCATACGTCTGTGTAGCCTAATTATTTATTCGTCAGCCTTATCAGGTCAGGGATTTTCACATCTACACCTTCTGTACCTTTCTCTCTTCTGGCCCTGGTCGCTTTTCTTTCATCTCCTAATTGCACAAATGGATGTTTCGTGTTGCTGCGGTTTGCACCTTAATTTAACTGAGAAGAAACAGCCTAAAGTTTTGCATCAGCCCCGTGACGAAATACTGCAAACAACCAGACACTGAAACAGGCAGGCAGTATCGAGCACGCAGGTCTGAGACAAAAATCAAAATCCACATTTCTGGAGACACTGCACCTACATCTATAAAATATCCACACGGGCACCTCAATCTGCAGGAGTAGTGTACTATTAAGGGACATTTTAATGCATATCTGACGTAAGGGAGTAAGGCAGAGCCTAACCTGCTGCAGCGGGAGGATGAGTTTGTTGAGGCGCCTCCTCTCGATGAGGGCCATGCGCTTGGACTTGACCATCTCGACCAGTAGCACCAGCACAGAGATCTTGTAGGGGGTCACCCAGTCCTTTATGCCAAAAACGTTAGCGTGGACCACCCCGTTCGTCATCATCGGGTTGAAGTATAAGCTTTCGTGGACGCTCGCCATAGTAACAGAAAAATCCGAAACGCAGAACCTTAATGCAGCCCTAGTTACAATCGCGATAGAAATAACTCAACATTTAACACAATTATAGCTGCATCACACCGCTTTTATGCGGATTACCGCATCTCCCTTCACATCACGACAAAATACCAACGAATTGCAATACAATCCAAGTAGCAACAAACAAATTAGCGTTTTTAGTAACTAACCGGCTTGGAAATAAAACAACGCTGCCGTTTTTTAAAAGTGCGGCACACAGCCTCCATTACAGGAAACAGAAAGCAGCAAGTCCGTATCCCCGCCCCTGCGCCGGGTCACAGTGCGTGCTGCAGAGCTACGAGCAGCCGATTGAGAAGCGCGCAGTCCCGCTGCCCGTGGGTCCACCAAAGCAGTTCATTCTGCCAGAGAAGTCCACATTGATATCAAAGGGGAGAACATGTGCATTGAAAAACATTTACTGATGTGCGTTTGTTTCGAAGGTGCTGGTAGAAAATGGAGAGGGCAGCTCTGAGAAAGCCTGTATATGCAGGGTGTATATTTCCTCCTGACTGCTGAAACTGGCATCCTGCAGAAGCAAAGTTGCAAAGCTGTGGGGATGTGCTAACACAGTCTAAAACAGCACCATTGAACTGGAGGGCCATGATGCTCTGTCAGTAAAGTGGGGATTGGTGAGGGAACATCTGTCCTTAATGAAGAAGTTTACGTATCTTGAGATCATGTTCAGAGTGAAGGCAAAAAGCTAACATGAGATTGACTGGCTCGGTTCAGTGGCTGCAGCTTTGTGGGCACTGAAGAGGTCTGCAGTGGTGAAGACAGATTTAAGCTGAAGAGAAGACCCGCGGTTTACTGGTCAGTCTACATCCCTGTGCTCACTAGTTGTGGCTGATGAGCAAAGAACAAGGTACAAGCTGCTGAAATGAGGTTTCTTGGAAAGGGTGAGGACCTCAAAACAGAACTGCCACTCTTTCAGATGAAGTAGAGTCCGCCGATGTGGTAGTTTTGGTGTCTTAAAAGTAACGGAAAATCAAACAGCCCTCTGATTTCAGGAAATTTGTATATAGATTACTCAGACAAACAATGTGTTGAATATATCCAATTAAGTAAAATAATATATAGGAATTTATATTTTAAATACACACTTATAACGATCAGATACATATATTATTTGATGTTAGCGATAGAACGCTAAGCCACGTGTCAGTCCGTGTAATTCTGTCATTTTCCTGTTTTTACATCAGGTGATGCATACAAGTGCTTTTTAAAAACTATTACATCACATGCCTGTCGTGGGAGTGACGTAAGTGTTACAATACACGACAACATGACTAAACTAGATATCGTTTTCTGAAGGCATGACAGCACCAGCTTACTGTCACAAAGGTAGCTACTTATTTTTCAGTCTGCAATTACGCTGCTCGGTCATGAGTTTATTGCTTAAACAGCACCTACATTCAATGACAAAAAATTACATGTCATCTGCACAATTATTTTCGTTTATTTACACACATACAGAGAACATGTGCTGTTAGGTTGGTTCCAAAAAGCCCATCAAACAGGCAAATAACCCCAGTCTACAATGATGAACTAATACTGTACTGATATTCCTAAGTCCCCTAAACACAAGTAGGCTTGCATGTCAACTGCTGGTCACATGGGTCACTGGTATAACCTGGACTGCTCCTAGATTAAATTTTAAATGATAAATGTCACATCTATGTATACGAACGATTTATCACGATCCTGATTATAAAGATAAGCGAATACCGACACCAGGCAAAAGACGCCAACCTCTGCGCCACGGTGTACAACTCTTCCTACGCATGGCCATGTGACACCGCGGGCGCCGACGCAAGCGCCCTCGCACTACCATTGGCTGCTATAGATAAGGATGTTCTCAGCCGTGCCCTGATTGGCGGAGCCCGCGTGCATGACGTCATGCCGGCCCTACCCAGAGCCCTTGCGGTGACGGAGGGTGAAGACGTAATGGAGTGAGCGGCTGTTCTCCAGTGATGGTCAGTCTGTCAGTGTGTCTGGCTGGACCGCGCAACCCCGAGCTGCTGCTATGAAGGTATGCCACTCTTACATACGCTCTTCCGATGCGCTTTGCGAGCCAGGCTTTAGCTGATGGGCTGGCGATGGCCGCGATGGTGCCCCCAGCAGCGCCTAGGTGCTGTAGCTACACGGCAGTCAGCATTACTGAACTGAAACGACTGACGAATATGCCAGAACTCTTGACTAACCCAGTCGCTGAATGAGTTTCTTGTGGATAAGGGCTGCTATTTAACCGATTTCGGGGTGACACTGCTATCCAGTGTGCCGGTGACTTCTACTCTGATAGCTGGGCGACCTGTCACCGTTGACAGCTTTATATTTAAACAGCTCCGCGTTTCCCCGCCCTGTAAGTAATAATAACAACGCGGCGTTCTGTAATGCTGATGATCACCATCTGCTAATCTGCCGGACGCCTTTTTTTCGGACAGGGCGGTAATGGCTGCCTTTCGCTTGCATCCATTTCAGCGTCTTCGTTATTAATTGCTTTTGCGAGCTGGGAAGCGGGCTAGCCCTCCCTTATTAGCTGGACCAGTTCCTCTCAGAGGAGATCACAGCTGATCGCTGCAGTCAATGAGCACGAAGCTATTTTTGCCCCCCCACCCCCCCTTTGCCTGACTTACAGCTCTACACCGCAGTGTACACGAACACAGGCGATTGTGATTATTAATAAAGACAGGTCATAAGCACTGCGAGAGGTCGTGACATTGCGCTTTGATGCATGACAAGTCGTGGCCATTATGTCGTGTGGTGATGGGATTCTGTGTGCTCATTTGCTATGCATATCGATATTAAACAAGTGTCCTTTTGTATTATTTGGTAATATACTAATGTTCATATGCAGGAGTGAGGTACTGGAAGATGCCAGGCCCTGGCCAGCTGTTGTCATGGTTAAATGCTAGTCAGCAGTGACCAGAAGTACTCTGGGACACTTTCAGTAGCATAACTTATTAATTATAGAGCTTAATTTTTAACTGACCTTTGTTTAAGAGACCGTAAGCTGTAGGAGCAGCTGCAGCAGGACATGCATGCATTTTGATGTCGGGCCTGACTCGGTGTGGTAGAAGGCAAAGCCAGGCCCTTTACCCTGATCTTGGTGGAGCTGGGGGTCAGGGCAGGGCATGTGCCGAGCTTAAGCACAGTAGGCTCTTTAGAAGACCTTGTTTGCCCCAATAATTATAATTCACAGGGGTCTGGCCCCGGACACGTGATATCAGCCAGAGTTACAGAAGCAGGTTGCTGCCTGAGCTTTCCACTGTGGACTTTGGACGTTGTAGCACAGAGCTGTGGCAAGCCAAAACCGTGTAAGACAACCATAAAACCACCAGCAGGCAAACAGGTCCTCTTCATGACCTCAGCCTGTCGTTATTTCAGTTGTCTAAGGTTCTTTGTCCCACTGAAGCTGGCCAGTATTGCAGAAGGTATCCAGGAAATTAGCCCTTTCCTTGAGCATCTCCTTAGTCTATCACCATTACGCCTCCACGCTGGTGCTCCGTAATGGCACAGATGCTGAATGGGATCCGCTTTCTGTTTTCTCGGGTCCAGCTGAGTGTGGAGGCAGCTTAAACAGTCACCTCATGAAAAGGGTTCATTGAAGATGGTAAAATATCCCAGTTCATGTTCCTTTTGAGGCATATGGATCCGTTATAGAAACATCCCTGTGATATATCTGTGGTGGAATGAAACACCCTTCCAGCTGATTCCGTGCAAGCGCTGCTGTGAAGGGGATATCAGGGGAGCGGATGTGGGCAGAGTGTAAACAGCGCTGCTGGATATGCCTCCTGTCAAAACAGTGTTTTTGTTACTCTAACAAACTGCCATGAATATGCTGTATGTCCTGTTGGAACTATATTAATCAGTTATGTTGATTTTTATGAAGAGGAATGCCGCCCCCCGCAGCTGCCTGTAGGACATGCGGGCCTTCGTCTTCCTGATTGGCCACTATGGAAGTGTGCTAATGCTACTTGACCATAGCACCAAAGCATGCAGCATTTGCTGTAAAATGCAGAGTTATGGGTGTGCACCCGTGGCTCTGTGACCTCCAGGTGTGCCCATGCCCTGGTACCTTGTTCTGCATATTAGTGGTGACCTAGTGGCCAAACGTCGCTTAGCGGGACGGCCGGTGATACACGGCTAGCAGCGTCTCCGCCAACAGGCTGGACTGGGGCATGCGGGTGGAGCCACGAGTGACACCGCAAGCCTCTCACTCTCACCACTGTGTGGGAAAGGCCCTTTCTGGCAACTTCCTTGTGGCTTGATGGTGCCATTTCCCACATACGCGTCACCATTAACAGGAACCAGTTAGTAAATGAAACAGTTCCCTGGTCATTTTTAATAAAGCTGTGTGTTAGAGTGGGGCTTGGAGATGGCCTGGGGTGACTGGGGGAAATGTGGTTATTGCTTATGGTGCAATATGGCTTTGTGGTTGTAACTGGATGCCTGATTGGGTGGGGGTTAGACACCTGTCATCCATCCTTCTGTCAGTTGTCTCAGGTGTTTATTACCTTGTTGTTTATTCTTTTGTCCGATTCCTTCGAACAAATTTGAATTTGTTTCTTCATTTTCTCATATGATCGCTTCTTGTTCGTTGCTTATCTGTTTGTCCACTGCTGCCTGTTCAGTAGCCCTTCCCACAATGGCTTCTGGGAAGGGGCAGGGGAATCCAAGCCCTGAGGAAAACTGCAGCCTCTAGCGGGAATGCGACTGTCCTCGGGTTCAAGCTCAGTCCTCAGCCATTCACATCCTAATGGCCCTGCTTGGCATCAGTCTTATGGATCAGTGCCTCCCCTATTGTTCAGTGAGGTCCATCCAATCAGGATCTGCTCCAGCTGTGCTGCACGAGGATGGCTACAGGTGTAGCGGTGTACAGGTGGCGCTAGATGGAGTGGTGCCACAGGTGGTCCGGCATGCGACGGCTGTGATAGCCAGGGTCACCTCTGTCGGGTGCATGCTGCTGAGTGTCGTTTTAGTCCGTGCTCACACTTGGCCCGGTTGCCTCATACCGTGCCCGAGCACGATTGCCCCCCTCCTCACTCCCCTGCTGGTCTCTGCTCATATTGCACTTAACCATCCTGGCCCAAGCAAGCTTTTGTCATCATTTTGGGATTTTTTTTATGCAGAAGAAAACAGGAAGGAAAGCACTATTGCACAGCAGAATGGAATTCATGGTTAATGTCCATTTTTGTTATTTTGGGAACAATGACACAGAGATTTATCAAGTATACAACACAGCAATTATTACTTATTCATGCTCCACCAATAAGAAGACAGTCCCACATTTTATCAAGCATCTCAGAGTTTGTGCAGACTTGCGTTGGCCAGGGTACCGGTTCCGAAGAGGTGCCGTGGTACCACATTTTAAAAAGCTGTTTGGTATTACAGTTCTTTAATACCGGTACTAATTACACTATTACAGGCATCACTAATGTTATATATCTCTAACCATCGAATCATAACCATGGACTCATTATGTCTGAACCACTGCTGAAACTCAGTTATTCCCTATGTCAGAATTGCATGCATCATGCTATATAGAATAATAAAATTCTCCCAAGCTTCAAGTTGGTGATTTATGTAAGGGATCTTATAATATAGCAAGACCTTATAATATAGCAAACAGGCTACATTACCATTATTAGACTAACATCTGTACCTACAGGTTATTATGCTGCGCTGTGTTTTAAACAGTTAGATAATCAAGCATAATGTGCATACTCAAACAATACCGCTTCAACACTAAATGCAGATAGTTTGCCATATTATCTGAAATGTATGGATACAAATCTATCATTTAATGCTTAGTATCTGATAAAGGGGAAAAAAATATCAGACTGGTATCGGTTTCGGCTGGCGGAGTGACTTTTGAGTGTGTGGCCTCCTCTTGTCCCTTGCCGCTGTCAGGACCTTTGAGGTTTTTACAATGTTCCACAAACCTCTGGGGAAATGGATCTCATTCTCCTGCAGAGTACACTGTGCTGTTTACTTATGATCTTCTCCAGCTTATCACACCAGGGACATGTTTTTTACCATGTTGATACATGCTTGTGTGGAAAGTGACATTCTTTCTGGTTCTGGTCCAGGTTGGTGTTAACCAGGGTGGTAAAGCTGCTATGAGTTTCTGCAGAGAAGGTAGCCTGTGCAATATGCAGCACAGCACACACTCTGATGCAGTCACAGACTGGGGTTTTGTACTATGTCTTGTCAAGTAGGGAATGCCATCATGTGATCACATGCCCTGTGTTGTAGTACACCACTGTCCCATCAGATGGTACAGCAGCTCCTACGCAGCCCTGCGTGGTAAAGCTTCACCTGTGTTAGATGGGCGCCGCCCCTGCTCACCAGCCACCACTCTGTGCCTCGCAGGCTGGGGCCTCCTCCATGTGGGCTTCCTGCTGCGGTCTGCTCCATGAGGTGATGGGCACGGGAGCAGTGCGCGGCCAGCAGCCGGCCTTCGGAGCCGCCGCCGGCCCCTTCCGCTTTGCCCCCAGCGCCGGCTACTCCAGCTATCCATCCAGCGGTTCGGCGAGCCCCAGTCTGGTGTGCAAGGCCTGCGGCCAGGCCTTCTCTGTCTTCAGGAGGAAGGCAAGTATTGCGTCGGCTCAAGCATGGTTCCCTGCTGGCCACCCATTGGGGTGTCTGCATGCCGTGCTGGGGGGGATGCCGGCACAGGCTGATTGGAAGGCTTCTCCTCCTCTTGCCTGCATGTCCCGCACCTCAGGCATGCTTTCCTCAGTCGCTTTCTTACCTCGGGCTTTGGGGGGAGTGGGGCCTCGGGCTTTGGGGGAGAGGGGTCTCAGACTTCTGGGGCCTTGGGCTTTGCGGGAGTGGGGCCTCGGGCTTTTGGGGAGTGGGGCCTCTGGCTTCTGGGGCCTCAGGCTTTGCGGGATTGGGGCCTCGGGCTTTGGGGGATTGGGGCCTCGGGCTTTTGGGGGAGTGAGGCCTCGGGCTTTGGGGGGATTGGGGCCTCGGGCTTTGGGGGAGTGAGGCCTCGGGCTTTGGGGGGATTGGGGCCTCGGGCTTTGGGGGAG